GGTGGTAGGTAATTCTGTTATTACCCATCCAGGTCCTCAGTGTCACCCTGGGCATTGATAGTCAACAGGCTGAACGCAGGAGTGGAAGAACCACAGTGTCAGGCTGTTCCGCACTGTCAGGCCTGAAGTGGCGCAGTGGCTTCTGCCCGCAGTCCCTTATCCAGAACAGGCTGTGTGGCCACATCTAACTGTAAGAGAGGCCAGGAAATATGGTTCTGCCGTGTGCCCAGGAGGAGGAGGAGACTGGTTCGCTGAGAGCTGTCTAGTTGCTGCTGAATTCACTAATGAGAAAAAAAAAATGTAGCTTTCCCTGCTTGTTTCATGACTCGGTGAAAACCCAGGCCTTGGTTCTCCTTTTTTGTCCCCTACCAGCCTTTCAAATGAAGTCTGGGATAGTTCACAAATGAATCCATTTAAATATTCATCGGTGGTCCATATGCTTTATGTTGACCAACAAACATTCATATTCAGTATTTTTTTAAAATGGAGTAAAAATAACCCAATCCGTATATGAAAACTTTCCCCAGTGATCACTTTTCTCTTTGCTGTGCTAGAGTCCAGGACACTGAATGTAAGGAGCAAGTCAGAGTTGTCCTCTCTGGGTGGAAGGTGACTTGCATGGCCAGTGAGTGACATGGCTGGTCTCATCTCAGGCATGGTCGGAGGTGTGTGGAGGCACTGGCCATGTGGCATTCACTGTTCACCCGTTGCAGAGTGACCCTTCATTGGCATCAGGGGGTTGTAACCTGATGTCTCAGCCTGGAGTCAAAGATAGACAGACAGAAGGGCTAGAGATGCCCATGGGAATTTGACTTTGCTTTTAAGTTAGAAAACAGGATAGAAATGTCTGTGCTACAGGAAAAAGGAATGGAGTCACAAAGAAAACCTTCTATTTACAATTTTTAAAAGTATATTTCAGGGACTGAAGAGACACAAGCACAAAAGCATTGCAAAGAATGAAGGTGTTTAATTTAGGATTTTTTTCTTATGTAACCACAAGGAATATCATGAAAAGAATGGAAATGGAGTTTCATTTCTTTCACATACTTTAGGTAGAACTCAGAAAATTAGTTAATTAACATTCTAAGAATTGATAATTTCTTAAAGCATGCAAAGGCTTATCTTTTTCTACTCTTTCAACATTGCTTTAAACAGTTGGGGATGTGACTCTGCTAGCAATTAGGAATATTAGTCAGAGGAAAACTTCTTACAATGAGACTCTTTGAAAAAATTTCCATTAATGAAGCTGAAAAGGAGCACCCTGCAAAACTGGGGTGGGGTGGGGGAGTTACATCTTTTATTTGGTGGGAATTGAAGTTATCTGCAGGTGTCACAGTGATAAGTAGTGGAGCCAAGAATATAACCAAAAATTCTACATAAGTCCTCCAGCCCAAAGAAGTAATTTAATCCTGTATAATGAAATTTTTAAAAAGGGAATTGGTAGTTTAGTCCTGCTTCTCACTTGATCCTCCCTCAATTTTCCACTGGTAAACTTCCTGATGACTGCAGCATGCGTAACATTGGAGAGGGCAGGGTTACTCGAGCTGCGTTAGAAGGATTTACAGGGCAAATGACAGATTCCTAACTGTTATGCTTCTACTAATTTCGTATTGAAGATATGGCAGTCATTTTTTAGTAGACATAGAAATTCTAATGAAAACATAGCTGATAATACTAGTCAACACTTACATAGCACTTGCTACTTTCCTAGACGATGTTTTATGCATTTTACATTTGTTCACTCATTTGTATCTTGGCACAAATATTAAAAGGTAAGCGCATTGTTACTTTCTCCATTTTACAGATGAAACAATTGAGACATAGACAGCTTTAATGACTTTAGATTGAACTCAGAAAAGTAATTAATTGGTATTCTGGGAATTTGTAATTTCTTGAAGCATATAATGCTGGGCTTGAACCTAAACGGTCTGGCTCCACTGCACTCTTAACCATCACAACATACTGACCCTGTGAACTTGTCTACATGTCTACTTGTACACATTTCTCTCCATGGAGTTCATTTTCTACAAGCACAACAGAGCTTTGCAGCAATCATTCATTATTAGCATAGTTTTCTTAGCTAGCATCGATTAGGGAACAATTCTTAATATTTTATCTGTAATCATCTAAAGGAAGATGCTGGACTGGAGTTCCTTTGAGGTTAAGAAAAAAACACCTCGCATGTGCTGTGTGCTCATGTCATTAAAAAATAGCTAATTGTCATGTATAATGGCTGACATGAGATACTGAATGCAAAATTATAGAATTATAGGAGGATATGGTGGCAGCATAGGTTTTAAATCTTCCCAAATCCATAAAAACAGACAAAGCAACAGGACAGCAAAGGCAAAAAAAAAAAAAAAAAGATCATTGCTTATAATGAAACTCTTTGAAAAAGATGGTGACAAGACATCATCTCAAAGTCAAGTGTATGCAGTCGAGGACACGTGGCCAGGAGCCAGACGACCAGACTGGGATCAGCATCTATGTGGGAAGAGAACAAGAGCAGCAGTGGGACATCTGGTAACACTAAAAACGGAAGATCCCTGAAGTAGCCAAGAGAAACTGACTAGAAAGCATTGCACCGGTGGGTTGGAAGAGTTTAAACTTGGAAGAGTTTTGACCGATTGACCAGCCAGGGAGAGAATAGCGCAGTCTAATTCCTATGAATTCATTACACTGTCCAGCTACGGCTCCCTTTCAGGACAGAGCCCACACTAAAACTTCACGGACTAAAGACAGACTGCACAGGATGTGGCCATAAAGGTGAAGGTGGAAAAGGCCCAGGTAAAAGTGGGAGATACAAACAGAGTGAGCCCAAAAGTTACAATGAGCAAATTACCATACTTTTAAACACAAAAATAACAGAAGCAGTTACTGTGTGAAGTTAGAAAGGTTATCTAAATCAAGTTTCTTTTTATTCAGAAACATTCATTTCACATGAAAATAAACAAGAGAAAAGTATCAGGATAAAACCCCATAAAGACCATAAATTATATGTAACACATATAACTAATTAAGGATTAGTACCATTGAGGAAAGAAAACCAGAACAAAGCACAGAATCCAATAGAAATATGAGCAAAAGATACAGCAGACATTTCACAGACAAAACGTAAATGGCCTATAATAAAAATATTAGCAAGCTGCTTGGCAATCTGGAACTTATAATTAAAACCAAAAGGTTAATTTTCATACATAGGCAAGTAGGAGTTTACTCTGAAAGTATTTTGAAAACCCTTTGACGTTGACTATTAAGGTTGAATATGTATATGTATGTCTTATGACCCAGTGAGTCCTTTCCTAGAAGCAGACTTCAGGTAAACTCTTGCCTATGAGCTCAAGGAAATGCATACACACAGATGTTCATGGTGGCATTGTTTGTAACAGCAAAAGACTAAAAACATGTGAGCTACTTGTCTGTAATAGCTAAATGGATTCAAAAGCTGTAGTGTGTTTGTAAGTGGAGCTATACAACTCTAAAATGAATAATGTCATTTTTATTCCAAAAAATGAAATAAACTTGAATTTGTTTAAACAAATTTGGGATGTACTTATATAAAGAAGCAGGGATCTCTCCTAGAACCCAAGGGCAAGTTATGAAGCTGAAACCACAGGGCCAAATGTCTCTGCTTCTTTTTGTGTGCCTTTGTCCTTGTTTTTACTATGAAGCTTTCTCTGCAGTTCTTTGCATCTGGTTAAAATAAATACCCACAGCTCCTGGGAATCACTGTCATCAATTCTATCTACATAGAAAGACTGATGAACTGTCTTTTGAGCCTCTCTCTCAAGAAATAGGTATTTAATTGTCCAGCATGGGGCAGGAGATTAAACACCCTATTCTAATCCCCACTAGCCAATGAAATCACAGCAACATGACTGTGAGGATCTACCAGCACTGTGGAATGGTGATGGTTCTATGATGACTGTGGGGATAATGGAAGTTCCTATGGCCAGGATCCTCACCTGATCCTAAACTACTTGAGGATGTAATTGGCCTGCTGCTAGGCCACTGCTTCCATACCTGTAGGCAATAAGCTATTATTGACTGGTCACTATAAAGAGCTCTGCCCAGGGCTCTGGGTGAAGGCAGAGATGAAAGAGGTTACAGACCTGCAGACTGCTGGATGCATACATGATTCTAGTTCTGGACCTGCTGCTGGGAGAATAAAGCCAGGTATAAACCCTTTTACCTGAAGAATGTTCTGTTGTCATTCCTTGGTCTCACTGATTCTATAGTGAACATGCCCAAGGCTGAAACCATTGGTAAGACAATAGCAAAGTTGTCTTCAGAGACAGGAAGTGGGGTGGACAGTGTGGCCCTAAAGTTTAGACAGCAATACATGGAGGTTAAAATCATGGTTTCTGGAGCCAGCATTCTAGATTCATTTCTCAATTCTGCCATGACTATTTGAGTGACCTTGTGTAAGTCCTTAAACTTTTTGTGATTGCTTGTTTTCTTCATCTCTAATATGAGGGTAATAATATATTCTTACATGTAAAACCTCTAGAACAGTTCCTGGCAACATTTTAAACATTTAATACATCTGGGTTATTATATTATGATAGTGGCCAACAGTGGTATACATTTTCCTTATCAAATAAATTCATCTAATTTTAAGTTTAGTAATGTTTCATTACTCCTGTAACCTTCAATACTTCAAAAATATAAATTTCATTTACAAAATGAAGTGATCTTATCCTTATTTTGCTAAGAGTTATATGATCTACAAGCCTGTTCAAAATATTGATAACAAAAGGGAAAAAAGGAAGGTTTCATAACAGACTAGTTATTTGTTACAGTGATCAAGACTGATTTCCTAATAAATTTGAAAAGACATTCTAATTTTTCTTGGCGAATAGAGTGTGTATGTACAAAAAACTATAATAGCCCGTATTTGCATAATTATTGATAATTGTGAACACAGTTTGTTTATTAAGTTAAATTATAAAGATGAGTTCACTTAATATTCTGTTGATTAATTATACATTTATTTGCAGATACATGACAGATGGAGGACTCAACCTGTATACTAGAAGTTTGAATCGAATACCAGACACAGTGACATCTAGGGATGTCATTCAGAGAGGGGTTCATGACGTCACAGTGGATGCAGACAGGTAATATCGGCAGCATATATGATGGTGAAAGTGCATACAACAATTCATAAATGTAAACCTTGGAGTTTTACAGTATAAATCAAAGGATTTTTATTTTGATATAGTAACTATTTTTGAAACATTTTAAAGACTAAAGAGGTTTTGCTTTTTCAGCTCTGTATATTGAAAAAAATTGCATTGCTGGTGAGCATATTTAACAAATTTCATGTCACTTGGGGGTGAATTTTAGTATATGTAAAAGCAAAATTGTAAAGATAGACTTAGGTTCCTTATTTGAAAAGAACTCTGACTAATAAATCACCTTCAAGTTGAATACCCTCAGTCTACCTGGAGGCTATGATACAAAGATTAAAACATAATTAAAATTATCAGGTACAACAAGCTTGAAGCTTTTCTTGAGGGGTTTCTTGAAAGCATACAACTCTTGCCTTAGGCTAACTTCTGTTTTGAAATTATTTCAAATTGCTTAGAGGTGTGTGTGCGTGTGTGTTTCAAATGCTGGTTACTTTGCTGAAAATTCTTTTGCCACTATTACCAGAATCACTGCTTTTTGAGAATATTGTCTTTGTAAAATAATGTTGTAAGACGTATTTCTGACCTGATTTTCTCCTTTTCTGCACTCAGTTTTTGACTTGATTGAGCAGGAAGGGATCGCCCATTTCCAGAACTACTATGTATCAATACCTAGCATGGTTCTTTAATTCAGCATTTATGAAGAGTATAAAAGGTTAAGACTTAATATAGTCACATTCTGAGATAAAAGCTGTGTACAATTCCTTGTGTGTTTTAGTATAGCTAGACTAAAACACAGGCTGATAGTGGCTTCTGATACTCATTTTCAGTTTCTTCTCACTCAAATGCTGTTCATCTTTAGCTTCTTTTGGCCAGAGGACCAGTCCAGTTCTCACCCATGTGGATCCCACTCTCCTAGTCCATATGCGAGGGCTGAAGGTGTCAGTGGAGGGCCCAACCATTGTGACCCTATTTAACCTTCTTTACCTCTGTAAAGGCCCATCTCAAATACAGACACAGTGGGAGTTAGGGGCAACATATAAATTTCAGTCTTTACCACTGTGTGTATCCCTGGTGGTTTTATCCTTGGGGATACAGGTTCAGTCACTGTAAGTGCTGCGTTAGAGTAGTGAGTGTATGTAGTATGCACTCCATAAGCTCCTGTTCTTCATGGCTCAGGAAGATGACATGGAGAAGGGACATGCAGAATGGACATGGTAAATGACCAGTATAAAGGGGGTATCCATCCTGAGCTCTAGAAGTTGCTGCCTGCAGATATGCAGAAATGTGGAAAGAAGGGCTGAGGAGTTTCCAAACATTTGATTTGTAAAGTGAAGTCGAGAGTCTGGACTTCTGTGAGAAATTTCCTAACTGTTAAACATTGGTATTATCACAAATCTGAGATCAATAGATAGTTAAAGATACACGTTTTCTTCAATGGCAGATAATCTAGGAAGTCGCCAGGAAGGTTATATAAAGCAAGAGAAAATGAACATCCTCATGTATGGTCATACTTATGGTCATGTAAACTTCCTCAGTCCCTTAACATTTCCCACAGAGGTAAGCTGGCAATGATACCTACCTGCTGTACAGAATGAGAATGCCACCAGATGTGAGAAGCTCCTCCTGCCAGGTGCAGTCATTGTAGAAAACTATCTGAGTGCATTTCCATGTTTTTAATGCAAGACTGGACAAATCTGGGATCAGTTTCCCAGACATAGCATCTGTCAGTGGGGCTGGCCTCAGGCCTGCCTCTGTGGCTTATTATGACTTAGCCACCACTGTGTGCGTCAGTACTGTGCAGGCTGTCAGCACATTTGCGTCCCTGATGTGGAGTGGGAAAACAAGCTCAGCAATGAGCCCTTCACATTTAGAGTAGATAAAGGAAGAGTAGCCATTCGCGAGACAGAGAAATCAGCTCTAACGTGAAGTCCAGAAACAAATAGGGTTAACTGGTATTTTTTAAGTGGAGAGAAAAAGAAATGGGCAACCAGGTCAAATTCCATGGATAAATGAAGTTAAGTGGAGATTTATGCCAAAAAATAAAACGAAATAATATGAAGTTTAACTTTTGAGAGGTAGAGTTCTCCTGGATGATTGAGCAAGGTACAAACTAGAGCCTAATTTACTAAAGTAGAATGGTCATGGAAGTAAAAATTTGGTTAATGTGGATAATTTACCCAGGTGGCTGTTAAGTCAGTATGACAGAATGAGTCTCAAAGGAGAGGAAGACAAAGGTCCAGGTACCAAATTCTTTATTGATTATGGACAAATTTCCACAAATTGTAATGACAAAGATACCTTTCCCAGGTCCACCCTTGATTATCTATTACATTGTTATCTAAAGTATATTCTTAAATATAGTGATTGCTCATTTCAATTATAATCAATTTATTCATATTTTTTACTGACTTTTGCATTTTTAATTATGACCTTTTAAAAATATAAAAGCATTACACATCATAGAAATCATTAGTTTTGTATTGTACTAACTGATGGATTGGTTTGATTTGTGATACTACAATCCAGATGCTGAAATCACAGTTTCATTGATGAATGTTTACAAAAGGCATGGAGGGATTTTCATACTTTCACATGGCTCTTGGGTTATCAGTCATTATAATTCTTAATATAGTAAGGGAAGCCTAGGTGCAAACATCTAGTCATACTGAATCCCTTGTTGGGACTGGGGGGACCTTTTCCTTCATCCCCAAGTTTAGTGTTTGGAGGCCTGCATATTACACTGACATAAAACAGTTTAACAAGAGAAAAGACAGCTTTTTCTTCACATGTGTATGCTGGAGTTCACAGAAAGTGTAGCTCAATGAGATGGTTAGAACTTGGGGCTTATATAGCATCTTTTCCCCCCAGTTTTATTAAGAAATAATTGAAAAGCATCAATGTGTAAATTTAAGGTGTACAGCATGATGGTTTGATTTACATATATTGTGACATGATTGTCCGAATAGGTTCAGCCAACATCTGTCTTCTCATATAGGTACAATAAAAAAAGAAAGAAGAAAAAAAAGGGAAAAAAAATCTCCTTGTGATGATAACTGTTAGGATTTACCTTCTTAACAGGGGAAGAAAACAAGGAGAAGGGCAGTCATGGGAAAACAAATGACTTTTAGGACAAATGAATGGACCTTTAGAAGAAGAGATGGAAGATGGGATAGTTTTGTGGCAATGTCTTTTTAGGTGATTTCCCCTACTTCTCATTTCTGGTGTTAGGGGTCAATCTTCTGTGCTTGCAAAACTCCCAAGAAGGGGATTTCTGTCAGTTTAATCTTTTGGGACATTATGCTTTTAGGCAAATAAGAGAAGTTTAGGAAAGATCAACTCTTCATAGTGGTGTGTTTCAGATCCCTTCGCTCCACATCTATAGTTGTTATCAATGTGCAGAAAATTGCGCTGCCTCTACAAGGGGGATCATGGCAAATTCTCATAAAATCAGGTCAGGAGTCATTTCTAAGGATGGGAGGCCTTTGACATTTCCATGACTTCTCCAAACAGGAGAAGTAAAGGCAACAGAGATTTCTCCTGAGTCGTCAAGCTACTACCTCCAGGGGTCAGATTCATGATGTTTGTCACTAGTCTGTGTGCACTTTAATCACTGATCCTTTTCTGTGTTGATTTGTTCTAGCATAATGACAGAATCAGTATAGTCCCATATCTTCAGTATTTCCTTCATTATTACCTTGTTGGCTTTCCATCATAATTAAAAGCAAACACAAGAAAGATTAATAGGCTGAGATGGAAATAGATAAAGTAAATATAATTATTTCATTTCATAATCAAGTGACCTGCCTTTTTTGCTCTTGTTTCTCTAAGTAGAGACCAATACATAACATTGCAGAAGTAGGAAAGTTTTATTTGCCCTCCCAATTTCCCTTTGGCACCCAGGGCACCATCACAGGCTCACAAACCAGTGCTGAACTTCACTCCTGTGTTCCAATTCTCAGAATGAATTGACCTCCTTTTGAATAGTCTTATAAACTTCCAATAGTTTAAATAACACCCCTCATAGAATTAAATTGTACTGTATGTGCCATTGAGCACAATTCTCTATGCAAAGCACTCTCCTCAATCCTGAGGGACCCTATATTCAAGGTTTTTATATTAAAAGGAAGTTAGAGTAAGGATTAGTAAAGCTTCAAAAGCCATTGAGATTCAAAGGATACATGGACAATGCAACTAGCCCAGATTGTAGATATTTTTAGTTAAGATACCTTTTAATATCTTTCAAAGCATGCATGCAGTGACACCTAGCTTACCACCTCTTTATAAGACTGCTCCTGACATCCACCCTGGCCAAAGCTTAAGCTTACCATTCTAGGCTAATCTCCCAATAGAAGAGATGGTCCTCAGTACTCTTATTTATGCAGTAGTTCTACCTTATCTCCTTCCAAAACAGTTTATTAGTGAATCTACATAGATGATGGTGGAGATGATATGATGATAAGGAGGAGAAGGCAAGATGGTTACAATAAAAATAGCTATAGTAGCTATCAATATTGAGTATCTGGAATGTTCAGCCAACATGCCATATTACTTAAATACATTATTATATTTTATCTTTACAACAGCCCTGTGAACTGGATTTTATTACTGCTATCTTTAAGCAAAGAGTTCAAAGATCAAATAACTTACATGTAAATACTGTTAATAAATGGTAATGGTAGGATTTGAATGTAGTTACTGTGTTCTTACTATTATTCATAAAATTATTAATTTAGGTAAAGATTTTTTATCATACCTGGATGACATTTTCTGATTTTGTAAATTATTTCATTATTCCTTTTGGTCTAAAAATCTGTAAAGTATGACAGCTGTTTTTTATTCAACTCTATAAATATTAGTAAGTTCCTTCAATATGTAATCATATTCAATTTCTACTGTGATTTGTCAATAAATCTAAAAACACAAATCACACAACAATATAGTCACATTCATTAGAACTTCTAAAAGGCTGGCTAGTTTGTTACTAT